TAAGCAGAAAAAGCTGGAAGTGGTGCTGTGGCTCAAGTGGTAGAGTGCTAGCCTTGAGCTGAAGAACTGAGGGACGTGCCCAGGCCCAGAGTTCAGGCCTCACAACACACCGACAAAAAAAAAAAAGATAGTTTTATCTCAAACTCCAAGGATTAAGAACCTGAACACCTTATATGATTAGGACTGGTATAATAATCGAATGGAATTTCAGCCAAATTAATATTGTTCACTCACTCATTTTTTTTAAAAAAGTTTTTATTTTGATATCAAACCTTAGACTTGAGCTCAGAGCCTAGATACTGTTCCTGAACTTTTGTGCTCAAGGCTGGCACTGTATCACTTGAGCCACAGTTTCACTTCTGGCTTTTTTGGTGGTAAAATGAGATAAAAGTCTCGCAGACTTTCCTGCTTGGGCTGATTTTGAATTGCATTCCTTAGATCTATGAGTAGCTATGAGTAGAGGTGTGAACCAAAAGTTCTACCTCATTCATTTATGAGACCAGTCTTGCTATATAGCTGAGACTGTCCTTGAACCAGATCTAGATCCTCCTGCCTCAGTCTCAATTGCCCAAGTGCTGGGATTACAGGAGTGCATCACCATGCCTAAGTTCCATTTATTGTTTTGAGTTGAATCAAAGATATTTCATCTTGCCAGTAAATATTTCAGTAAATAGCTCAAAAGATGAAGAATTTAAGAAAATTCTGTTATTAAAATCAATGTCTTGCTATCTGTATGTCATTCTCTCTCTGTCTCCCTTAAATTAAGGGCTTTGTGCTTACTAGACAAGTACTCCACCACTTGAGGGCACTGCATCCAGCCCCCCTTTTTATATATCACTTTGGGTAGAGTTATCTTTGAAATGTCTGAGATTATATACAAACACTTATCTCTATATGCTTATGTGATTTGGGGTATAATGCCCTGACTTTCATAGGTTCTTGAAGGGTCCACAAAGGACTAGAGCCATTGGCATCATGTATTCAGGACCATATATCAGATAATGAAGAAGATAAGACTATAAAGGAAGAAATAAATCTCAGTTCTTATAAATGAAAGCATAAGCAAATGATTTAATCTTTTCTAGGGTTACATGATGAAAAAAGGCCATCGACGGAAAAACTGGACAGAACGTTGGTTTGTACTAAAACCCAACATAATTTCTTACTATGTAAGTGAGGATCTGAAGGATAAGAAAGGAGATGTTTTGCTGGATGAAAACTGCTGCGTAGAGGTTGGTCTGTTACTCTGTCTTTGCATCCTTACTCGGTGCTGCCCCCTGCTGTTGAGGGACTTTCTCGTCTCTCCCCATTCTAGAGCTTGCCTTCAAATAAATCCTAAATTTACATTTCCAAAATAAGGCAGGCATGCCCTTGCTTCTGAACCAAAAATTAAAAATAACTGACAAGTTCAATTTCCTATATTATACTGGTCAACAAAGTATCTTAATTCACTGTATATTTGTGGGGTCATTTATGGAACAAAGTAGAGCAATAAAAAATAAAATTAAAAAAATGTCAGTAAGATAGTACAAATCATAGACATACCAAAAGATCTGGAGATTGTGTCTGTGTGTGTGCGTGTGCTTGTGCGTGTGCGTGTGCACGTGCATGCCTGCTTGCATGCACATGTGCGCTGGTTCTGGAGCTTGAACTCAGAGAATAGGCATTATCCCTGAGTTTTTAATTTTGCTCTCTTCCACTTGAGCCTCAGCTCCACTTCTAGCTTTTACAGTGTTTAGTTGGAGATGAGTCTCATAAAATATTCTTCCTGGACTGGCTTTGAACCATGATTCTCAGATCTCAGTCTCCTTAGTAGCTAGGATTATAGGTATGAGCCACTGGGCCCAACTTATTTTGTTTTGAGTCACTATGTTGCAGGCTGGTCTTGAGCTTGCAGTTTCCTCCCTCATCCACCTGTATACTAGGATTATAGGCATGTTGATCCACCATGCCTGGCATAAATTCTGGGGAATTTTGAGTATATTAAATAAAAAAGATTTGGCCTCATATTTGAATGTTTTCAGTAACTTAGTATTTTATAAAGAAGTGAAGCCCTTAAGAACATAATTTTAATTTTTTTTTTGGGGTCCGGTCGTGGGGCCTGAACTCTGGGCCTGGGCGCTGTCCCTCAGCTCTTCAGCTCAAGGCTAGTGCTCTACCACTTGAGCCACAGCGCCACTTCTGGCTTTTTTCATTTTGCTTATGTGGTGCTGAGGAATCGAACCCAGGGCCTCAGGCATGCAGGGCAAGCGCTCTACTACTGAGCCATCTTCCCAGCCCCAAGAACATAAAATTTTGAGCTTTTGCAAAAGATTTTTTTGGGGGGGTCTGGTCATGGGGCCTGAACTCTGGGCCTAGGCGCTGTCCCTCAGCTCTTCAGCTCAAGGCTAGCGCTCTACCACTGAGCCACCTTTCCAGCCCCTGCAAAAGATTTTTTTGTTTGTTTCTTGTTGTGCTAGAGATAGAATTCAGGGCCTTGTGCATGCTAGGCTGCTGAGTTCTGTTCTCAGGCTCAGTTTTTCATTTGTGTGTTAGCTACCTCTATGTCTGTATTTGTTAAAGAACTCAGAGGCTTGTGCATGCTAGACTGCTGAGCTCTATTCTCAGGCTGAATTTTTGATTTGTGTGTTAACTACCTCTATATTTGTTAAATAATATTTGAAAGACCTGAGCTCTCACTCATAAACTATAGTGCATCTTGAAGAAGAAGTGGCATAGGTATATTAATTCTTTGGAGTTTGTAATGCCTTTGAAGGAGTCTGCTCACATTAAACAAAGACTCACAATTTACCTCTAGCCATGCCATTTGATTCATAAGGATATAGGACAGGAACCATAGGGTTGGCAAAAACATATCCCAGGCACAAGGAGAAGCCAAAGCAGGCAGAGGTAGAAATCGCCCTGGGTCAGAAGCTTTGTGTGTCACCACCTCTTGTGATAAGGAATTTGTCTTTGGAGATTCCTGCAGTGGAAAAGCACAGGTTGGAGTTGCTGCACTCAGCAAAGTCCAAACCAAAGCATCCTGCATCCTGTCAGGTGTTGGTTGTTTTCCCAGAACAGATGTGGTATACCGATTAGGGGTTGTTGTGACCATAAGTTATATCACCTAGGCAAGAGTATTAGTAATAAACCAGTAATTTATATTATAGTATATTATAGCAATATATTATAGTATATTAGTATAGTATAGTATATATAGTATATATATAGTAATACATATAGTATATAATATATAGTATATATATTATAGCATATTACAGTAATAAACAAGTAATTTTATATCATAAACTAATTGCTGCCGAATCTCAGTCAGATGGGTGTAAATAAGAAATATTGAAGTTCAGTGCCAGGCCTGCTGACACATATCTGTAATCAAGTATGTGGAGAGGCTGAGGCAGAAGGATTAGAATTTCAGGGTCATCCTGGTCTACATAATGAGATCCTGTCTTAAAAACACAAAAAGAAAAAGAAAAAAAAATTAAAGAACTAACTGTGCTTTTCTGATTTAGCCTCTGCCTGACAAAGATGGGAAGAAATGCCTTTTTCTAATAAAATGTCTTGATAAGACCTTCGAAATTAGTGCTTCAGATAAGAAGAAGAAACAAGAGTGGATTCAAGGTAAGTCTGCTTTTATTATTTGTTGTGACAAAATGTGAGAGCTTTGACTTTGTATTTTTAAGCCTCATGAAAGATGCTAAAGCATTTTTATCTTGTTTGTTGTTTCTAAATGTGACAGTGTATCTGAAAAAAAAAAGATTACATGATGTTATGGCCTAGATAGAGCCCCTGAAATCCTAGATATTTAAGAGGTAGAGATTAGGAAGATCACAATTTGGGGCTAGCCTGGGCAAAAGTTTTTGAGACTCTAAACTCAATCAGCAAAAAGCTAGATGCAGAGGTGTGCTTTTGTCATCTAGCTTTGTGCTTCTGTCGTCTAGCTTTGTGGGAGGCATAAATAGGAGGATTGAAGTCCAGGCCTGCTCTAGGCAAAAAATGAGGCCCTATCTCAAAAATATAGCAAAGCTGGTGGTTTATATCCGTAATCCTAGCTACTCAGGAAGCTGAGGTCAGAGGATGGCAGGATTTTTTTCTTCTTTTTCTTTTTGTTGTAAATCCTGGGCCTTGAAACAAGGTCTAGGAACTGTCCCTGAGACTTTTTTGCTCAAAGCTAATGTTCTACCACTTGAACCACAGTGACATCCTCAGCTTTTTTGTGATTAATTAGAGATAAGAGTCTCACAAGCTTTTCTGCCCAGGCTGTTTTTAAATCCCAATCCTCAGATCTTAGCTTCTTGTGTAGTTAGGATTACAGCCATGAGCCACTGGAGTCCAGTAGTATTGCAGTTTTGAAGCTAGCATGGGTAAAAGAGTCCACAAGGCTTCATTTCCAATTAGCCAGCAAAAATGCCAGACTGAAGGTCTGGCTCAAGTGGTAGTACACCAGCTATGAGTAAGCAAGCCAGTAAGAATTACAAAGCTCTGAGTTCAAGATGTATTATTGGTACAAAATAATATGAGATAATGCTAAAGGGTATGCTTATAGATTTTACATGTGTGGGGCTGAAAACATGGCTCAGTGGTAGAGTGACAGCCTAGCAACTATGAGGTCCTGAATTCAAACCTCAGTACAGCATGCCCCAATAGACTCTTGACTTACTTTATGTATGTATTAATGCATATTTTCACTAATCGGCAGCTATTATGACCTGTTACACTTTCAGAAAGGAAGTGTACAGGGAAGTCATTTTATAAGGTATAGATTAAGGGCAGATACATTACAGCAGGCTGTATGTAAGATAGTAGCAACTTTGGCTTTGCCCTTACTGTGTCTTATTTTTACTTAGCTTTTTGGGAAGAAGGGTATTGAAAGTGTTGTCAGAAGTTCTTAAAACTTGTGCATCCACTGTACCCGAATCAGGTGTCTCTGTTAGCACAGATGTACTCAATGGCAAAATCAGAATCCACACTGGGTTTCTGACTATCGTCCCACTGTGCATCTGTGTAACAGACATCTAAAGAATAAAATGTGTTTCCTATTCTTCCACATTTTGCAGCCATCCATTCTACTATCCATCTGCTGAAGCTGGGCAGCCCTCCACCACACAAAGAGGCCCGCCAGCGCCGGAAAGAACTTCGTAAGAAGCTGCTGGCTGAGCAGGAGGAGTTGGAACGGCAGATGAAGGAACTCCAGGCTGCCAACGAAAACAAGCAGCAGGAGCTAGAGACTGTGAGAAAGGTGGGTTTGGGCATGTGGGTGCAGGTGCACCCGCCATTTCACTGTAGAGCTGTCAGCTGCCTTGGGAGCTTTGGTTCTGCCTGCTAGTGCAGAACCTGCTAGTGAGGCTAGTGCAACTTCAGGGGGAGGTTTGGTGACCTGTATTCTCAAGAATACTAGCTAGGCCACTCTTAGGTACTCTGCTTTCCCAGTCTTTTTTATTTTTATTGTGAAAATTCTGTGCAGAGGGGTTACAATTACATGGGCAAGATAATGAGTACATTTCTTATCAAGCATTGTAGCCTCCTCCTTTGTTTCCTCTTCCCATTCCTTCCCATCCTCCCCCCGCGCCCCTTACTTTCCCAGTCTTGAAAGTAAGTCAGTCTCAGGACAGCAAAAACATCTTATTGACTATGAGAACATATTTATAAAAATAGTGAGCACATTTGCATTTTGTCAGGAGAAAGATGAGAAATTTCATCTTCCTGAGAATGTCAATGCTGTTTTGGGGCATCTGGGACAAACATTGTTGTTTTATATCCTTCTTAGAGTTCTTTGTTTCTATTCTATTTAGAATTCATCGAATTCTTAGATGTGTGGAATAATGTCCATCATATTGGATATGATACACTTTCAGATACTTGTTTTTCAAATATCCCTCTCCCCATTTCCTCTCTTTTCCTTCTGCTTCAATTATGTAGATGTTGGGGGCACATAAAGATGTCCCACATTTCTGAGGCTCTGTTTATTTTTTATTTTTTTCTTTCTTTTGATTGCATAATTTCTGTTCATCTCTTCAATGGAATCTTGCAGCTTAAATATATTATGGAGTCCTTTGAGTGAAATTTTCATTTCAGTTACTGAACTTCAGAATCTCCATATGATTTCTTTTATAATTTATCTCTTTCTTAACATTCTCTATATGATGAAATAACACTCTTCAATACTTTTAGCATGGCTTCCTTTTAGTTCTTTGAACTTATTTGATATGACTGCTTTGAAGTTTTCTGGTAAATGTACCATTTGTGCTGCTTCAAAGGCAGTTTCTTTTGCCTGTTTTTTTCTGAAGAGTGAGAGAGAGAGAGTGTTATATGTCATGATTTTTTTTTAAATTGAAAACTGGGTGGTTAAGGTAACATAACAACTCTAGGTACTAATTCTGACACCGTCCCCCAGGGCTGTTGTTGGCTCATTTATTTGTGTAGTGACATGGCTGGACTCTTTCCAAGATTTGGAAAGCCTCAGACTGTGCTCCTCAGAAGCACAGCTTTGGGTTTAGTTACCCTGGATGACCCTCATTTAGCAGAGCTGGTTAGATGTCTTTCTCTTCTCTTTTTGATTAAGCTGTCTACCTTTGTTGGTGCTCTTGACTGATTGCTTTTTCTTAGTATTCTGAAGCCTAAATTGTCCATGTTTAATCTAGGCCAGTCTGAGCCGTGTTTCTACCACACGAGGGCTCTGCTTTACTGTCTCTTCTCCTGGTTCTGTCACACTGGTGGCTGGTCTGGAGTTTGGTTTGTTACTCTTAAGAGCTATCAGCTGCCTCTTAGTTACTTGCCACCAAAACCTCCCTTGTTTTGTCTTTTTCTTTAACAGAAGTTCCCATTCTGAAAAACAGTGTATGAGTACAAGGTAGCTTGTGCTTTTTTACATTTTCAAATAAAATCACTTCTTTGAGTGGTAAACAGCAGAGCCTGAGTAAAATGTCTGCTGTGTTCTGAAGCTATGTGCTTTTTGTTGTTGTTGTTGTTGGTTGCGTGGCTTGAACTCAGGGCCTGGGCTCTGGTCCTTGAGCCTCTTTGTGCTCAAGGCTAGCACTTTACCATTTGAGCCACAGAGCCACTTCTGGTTTTTGAGTGATTAATTGGAGATAAGAGTCTCACAGTGACTTTTTTGCCTGGGCAAAACCACAATCCTCAGATCTCAGCCTCCTGAGTAGCTAGGGTTGATTATAGGTGTGAGCCACCAGGGCCTAGTCTACTAAGTACTTCTTTTGGAGGAATTTTCCTTTGTTTTGGGCCTGTCACTAGGTAGAAGAGGCAGTCTTCAGTCCTTACTGCTTTCTTCTCTGTGGTACAGTTTCTGCCCCACAAGTGAGTCTGAATGAGGGTGATCAGGCCTTGTCTTCTCAGCTGGCCCGCCCCGAGAGTGGGAGCAGGTGGAGGAGAGCCCCGGGCCTCTCACCCTCTTGCCTGGAAGAGTTTCTGCAGAAGTTGCTGAGGAGGGTGAGAAATACCGGAGCCCCCCCTGGGGAGTTAGTGTAGCCCTGGCCTGTGGCTTTCATTTTCTGGGACTGGAACTTCCTTCTCACTATATAGGGAAACACAAGGGAGTATGTTACACCTTACATGCTGTAGACTGTCAGTGTTCTAAGATTTAGTAGATTTTCTTTGTTGTTGTTGTGTTTTGAGGGGTGCTGGAGATTGAATCTAAGACCTTTATATGCTAGGCACACTCTATCATTGAGCTACAACCCCAGCTCCTAGCAGGTTTTTGTAGATAAATGCTTTCTTTTGCTCTATGTCCTTATAATAATTTCCAGAGACTTTAAATGTTTTTTCTTTTTTAATTGCTACCAGTTATACTTGTTCCACTGAGGAGAGTATCTGAAGGGCTTCTTTTGCCACCCCTTTGGCTGGAGCTCTGGTATAAGTTTTAAGGAATAATTTGTAGGATAATAGAAACTATACAGACAGAGCTCAAGAAATGGATGTCAAACCACATAAATATGGTGAAAGTGAATATAAGTCAGTGTTTGTCCTAAAACTTTCTTTTCTTTTCTTTTTTTTTTTGCCAATCCTGGGGCTTGAAACCAGAGCATGGGCATTGCCCCTGAGCTTCTTTTGTTCAAGGCTAGCACTCTACCAGTTGAGCCATAGGATCACTTCTGGCTTTTTCTGTTTGTGTGGTACTGAGGAATCGAACCCAGGGTTTCATGCATACTGGGAAAGCACTCTACCACTAAACTACATTCCCAGCCTATCCTAAAACTTTCTTTGCAAAAAGTTGTTGGGGCTTACCAAAAGACTTCTATTTACCTAATTTGTTTTTATGTTGACTGGGAAAATTGTTGGGATGGAATCCTAATGGGTCTAACAGTTTTTCCTTTATTTTTATTGAATGTTGACAATGTTTGGCTCTTATGTGCCTAAGTAAGACTCTGTGTTCGTCTAATGTACTTCAATCCTTTTTTCTGGGGATGGGTTTTTGATTGGTAGAAACTGGAGGAAGCAGCATCTCGAGCTGCAGAGGAGGAAAAAAAACGTCTGCAGACTCAAGTGGAACTACAGACCAGGTTCAGCACGGAGCTAGAGCGTGAAAAACTGGTAAGGACCACCTGGCTGGGAAAAGCTGCCATGTGAGCCTCTCAGAGCCAACCTCATTGGGTAGGGGCACATTAAAGGGAGGGAGGAGGCCTAGGAGGCTGGAGTGAGGTCTTTCAAAAATATTTTTGGTGGTATTGAGTTTGAACTCAGGGCCTTAGCAGTATACTGCTAAACAAGTAAACAAATGCTGTGTACCACTTGAGCCACATACCTCTGGTCATTTTTGCTTTAGTTATTTTACGATGGGATCTCAAATTTTTGTTTAGTGCTGGCCTCAGACCAAGTTCTCAATCTCTGCCTCCCAAGTAACTGTTATTATAGGTGTGATCTACCCAACCCAGTCTTAGCTGCCTTATCACTGGCTTTGCTGCTGACTTACAGGGTGCTAGGAGAGTTATGTGCTCCTTCATTTTCCCTGTCTTAAGCACCTTCTGTGAAAGAGAGGTTTTTAAGACCTCTAAGCCAAAGTTTGTGAAATGGTGGGATAAATGCTTGGTTAGTATGGCTGTATGTCCAGAGTTGCCTGGTATAGCCCCTGTCATCCTGGGATAGTTATTAGTAATATCCCTTTCTTAAAAGATTGTAGTTTGGAAAACAAATAGCTGTGAGAAAGTATGCACAGGTTCCATGACACTTCTCATCTGTAGTGAACAAAGTGGGGGGTCTGAAATCATTAGAAATTTGGATTCTGGTTAGCTTTCCTGGCAGCTCTGCTTTATCCCAGAGGCTCCAAGTCCAGCTGCTGTATATAGCTAGCTGGTTAATTAGATTACAGGTTTTCTCCCACAGTACAATGCTATGTGGAGAGTGCTGAGCACACTTCCTAAATGTGCTCCTGACATTTATTTTAGCTGCATGGTTGCTTAGTGTTCAGAGAGCTGTTTGTGTTCTGGGAGGAAGGCAGGGGTGCTGTGTGGGCAGTGCTGCACTCACAGCCTTCCTCCCTTCTGCTGGTTTTGTTTTTTTTTCTCACTGAGAACAAATTTTGTCTTTGTAAGTGTTAGGGTTATCCTGTTATCTCTCCTGACTCTTTTTTTTTTAAATGTCGGTCATGGGGCTTGAACTTGGCTTGGGCGCTGACCTTGTGCTCTTCAGTTCAAGGCAAGCGTTCTACCTCTCTCCTGACTCTTAATGAGGGCAAAGGGAGATATTGCTAGTGAGAAAATGTTGTAAACTGCAGAGATTTGCATTAATGTATATGATATTATATTTAGAATACCTTCATCTTTTCATTTTTAAATCAAGGATCAAAACTTCGTGTGTGTGTGTTTGAAATCAAGGGGAGTCATACTCCTGCTTAGATTTAATGCTCAAGGCTGACAGTACTACTTTGAGCTACATTTCCACTTCTGGTTTTAGGCTGGTTGATTGGAGATAAGGCTCTCTAGGAGTTGTCTGCCTGGACTGGCTTCCAGTTGAGATGCTGAGATCTCAGCCTCCTGAATAGTTAGGATTACAAGTTTGAGCCACTGGCATCTGGCTAGGATTAAACAGCAAAGAAGAACCATATTCTTGATTTGTATGTGCACATGTGTATGTGTGTGCACGCGCACGCGCACGCGCACGTGGGTACACACACACACACATACACACACACTGCACCCTTGTACTCTTGTTAAAACACTGACTAAACTGTGGAGTTTCCCCAAGGCTGTGGCTCCCTGCGTGGGGAGAAGGGAGCCTGGAGGAGCTTGAAGAGTCTTCGATAAGCCAGGTACTTCTTCCCCAGAATCCTATCACATGGGCTTCTCTGTCTGGGCAAAGGTTCATTCATTAATTTCAGAGTAGATTTGGTAGAGGGTGTGGCTATAAGACAGGAAATTATATGGGAAAATATTTTTTTTCTTGACATCAAAATGTTGCGTAGAAAGGATGGAAAGTATACCAAAGAAGATCCCAGAATTGGGTTGTAGTTTATTTAATTGGATTCTTTCATAGCTGGTATTGGGCATCAGTGATCATTTTCTGATCTTTAGTTCAAAGGTTGGGAACACAGGGTCCTATCACCCTGATGAGCTATGGCTATGGGCATCGCTCAAGATACAGGTAGAGTGGGAACCTTGCCCCGAGGGAGAAGTGAACTTGCATCTAAACATGACCATGGTCCTTTTATACATTCAGATCAGACAGCAGATGGAAGAACAGGTTGCCCAGAAGTCCTCGGAATTGGAACAGTATTTGCAGCGAGTACGGGAGCTAGAAGACATGTATCTAAAACTTCAGGAGGCTCTTGAGAATGAGAGGCAGGCCCGGCAAGATGAAGAGATGGTGCGGAAGCTTCAGGCCAGGTAAGTTTGTAGAATTTGCCTTTGTGCACTTTGCCCAGGGCTCCTAGGGTCATGGGAAGACAAAGAGTGGCAGAGGTCTCAGCCACTCACTCTGGGAGAATCTCAGCCCTGGTGGGGACTGAGCTCACAGGTTGGCTGAATTGAGAGACCCTGCAGACTTGGTCAGCTGAGCTATTTATTCTCATCCTGGGGCACATGGGAAACCATTGCTTGTGTAGCTAAAAATGACCTTGTAGCTATTTTAGAGGAGTTTGATGGTTATGTTTGATGGAATACCTTTATTCATATTTTAGAATGGACCTAGATCAGCTCTGGTAAGAGTGTGGCTTCTTCAACATATTCCAGACCAGAGAAGGCTAACTCTGGCCAGAACGACAGCCATTTGGGGGAATAAGGAAGAAATAAACAGTTTCTATTTGGCCATTCAGGATTGGCACCATTCACTCAATAATTATTCCTTAAATCTTAGTTTTAAGAGTGTTTTGATTTTTTTTTTTTTTTTTGCCTGTCCTGGGGCTTGAACTCAGGGCCTAGGTACTGTCTCTGAGTTTCTTTGTCTCAAGGCTAGCACTCTACCATTTGAGCCACAGTGCCACTTATAGCTTTTTCTGTGTATGTGGTACTGAGGAATTGAACCCAGGGCTTTATGGATGCTAAGCAAGCACTCTACCACTAAGGTACATTCCCACTTCCAGTTTTAAGAGGTTTTTTTTTTTTGCCAGTCATGGTGCCTGAACTCTGGGCCTGGGCGCTGTCCCTCAGCTCTTCAGCGCAAGGCTGGTGCTCTACCACTTGAGACACAGCACTACTTCCAGCTTTTTCTGCTTATGTGGTGCTGAGGAACCCAGGGCCTCATGCATGCAAGGCAAGCACTCTACCACTGAGCCACCTTCCCAGCCCAGTTTTAAGAGTTTTTGAAATTAGATGTTCTTTTTCCCCAGAGCTTCTAAAATCAGGTCTACAATTGATGGTAATCATGTTTTCAGACAAGAATTCTCACTTCTGCTTCTTCATAGCAGCAGGAGGATAAAATAAAATTAGGACTCCAGGAAGAAGATTCGAGCTACTCTCTGTCAGTTTCCAACCTCCTACTGCCCATTTGCATTCTTCTTCTTTTTTTGGGTGCAGGTGTCCTTGAGCTCTTTGGCTGAAGGGTAGTGCTCTACCACTTGAACCACTTTTGGCTTTTTATTTTTGGTGGTAAATTGGAGATAAGAGTCTCATGGACTTTCCTGCCCAGGCTGGCTTTGAACTATAATCTTCAGATCTCAACCTCCTGAGTAGCTAGGATTACAGATGTGAGCCACCGACACCTGGCTCCATTTGTAGTCTTTATGATATCTTGTTTTAATTCTAGATAGCTACTCCTAGGCTTCTTGTGGCTACTATTCCATAGGTAGAGCAGCTGAAGATGTTTGTTTAATTTAGGAAATAATAGAGGAAAAAGGAGTCTCATATAGTTGGACACTTTGTTACATGACTTTAAAAATAAATTGATTTTGTTGTTGTTGTTGTTTTTTGTTGGTCGTGAACTCTGAACTCTGGGCATGGGCTCTGTCCCTCAGCTCTTCAGCTCAAGGTAAATGCTCTACCACTTGAGCCACAGCACTACTTCCGGCTTTTTCTGCTTATGTGGTGCTGAGGAATCGATCCTAGGGCCTCATGCATGCAAGGCAAGCGCTCTACCACTGAGCACCTTCACAGCCCTTGATTTGACTTTGAAATTTTAAATTATATTGAGGGAAAAAAACCCTTCTAAATTGGGAAGCTAATGCTTATCATTTTTCTTGACATTCATTAAGTCCCTTGGGCATGTATTCTCTATACTATAGTGTCACCCAGATATTTGGAACTACTTCCAGTGTCCCCAGCAGTGACATTAGCAAAAGATCCACTCCAAAGAGTGGCTTTCTAAGTGATACTAGATACATTTTGAGCCACTTGATAATTTGTTTTGTGTTGGGAGTTTATAGATAGTTCCTGTGTACAGAATTCACAAGTGAGAGAAATAGTCTATCTTATACTTGTTTTTGCTTTTGGTGCTCCTGGGGTTTGAATTCAGGGCCTTGCACTTGTTAGCAAGCACTCTACCATTTGAGCCATTCCCTGCCCTATTACGAAAGCTTTGAGAGACATTGATTATGATACAGCTGGGACTAGAGTGAATGAAGGAAGTTGTCATGGAGTTGGGTCCATGGAGGAAACATAATCTTAGACCCTGAGTGCATGTTAGGGCTTTGTAAATTTAAAAAAAAAATTTTTTTTTTTTTGAGACAGGGTCTTGCTATATAGCCAGGCTACCCCTGAACTCATGGTCCTCTTGCCTCAACATCCCAAGTGTTGGGAGTCAAGGGCTTTGTGCGCATGCATGCATGCATGTGCTTGCGCACGTGTGTGTGTGTGTGTGTGTGTGTGTGTGTGTGTGTGTGTGTGTGTACTTTGAGCTTGAACTCAGGGCTTTGAGCTCTTGATTTGCTTTTTTTGCTCACAGTTGGTACTATATACTACTTAGTCCACACCTCCAGTTCTGGCTTTTTTTGTGTGTGTATGAAATTGGAGATAAGAGTCTTGTGGTTTTGTCTGCTGAGGCTGGCTTTGAACCCCTATTCTCAGATTTAAGTTTTCTAAGAAGCTAGGAGTATAGATGTGTCCAGCAAAGGCTTTGTAGGTAATTCTCTTGTGTCCTTTCCTAAGGCAGTAGTGCGTTGTACTTGGAATAGAAGATGTGGTATCTTAGTTCCCTTCTCAGTGTTGCAAGTTTCTGTAGAAGAGCTTTTGTAGAAAATTATGTGCATGGGGCTGGGAAGGTGGCTCAGTGGTAGAGCGCTTGCCTTGCATGCCTGAGGCCCTGGGTTCAATTCCTCAGCACCACATAAGCAAAAAGAAAAAAGCTGGAAGTGGTGCTGTAGCTCAAGAGGTAGAGCGCTAGCCTTGAGCTGAAGAGCTGAGGGACAGTGCCCAGGCCCAGAGTTCAGGCCCCATGACTAGACCCAAAAAAGAAAAAAAAAGAAAATTATGTGCATACAAGAACTTTGGCTTGGGCCTGGGAAGGTGGCTCAGTGAGTGCTTGCCTTGCATGCATGAGGCCCTGGGTTCGATTCCTCAGTACCACATAAGCAGACAAAAAAAAGCCGGAAATGGCACTGTGGCTCAAGTGGTAGAGTGTTAGCCTTAAGCTGAAGAGCTGAGGGACAGTGCCCAGACCCAGAGTTCAGGCCCCATGACCGGACCCCCACCCAAAAAAAAGAACTTTGGCTTGAGCTACCTGGATCTTACATTTTTAAATTAAAATTTAAGTTCATTGTTTCAAAATTTACAATCTTTAAGATTATCTAGCCTCTTCTGAATGGGAAAGTTTTAGCATTTGGAAAATTCAAGTTGTGGAAATTTCTGGAAGCTGAACTACAGTGTATCTCATTATAATTTTTTCCCACTGAAGTTTAGGATCTGAAAGGCCTAGGAGCCTTCTTTAGGCATGCCTGCATTACTAGCAGCTGGTATAGTGCCTAGCACACAATGCTCAAGGAATATTTTTTGCATGAATGAATAGATTCAAGTTCTCCCTGTTGACACCCATAGCACTACAGTGTCTCTTTTATTTGCTCTAATATGTTTCGTGTCTTTAAAGGCAGTTAGAGACTGGGCTTCACAATGATGAGTGGGTACTTTGCTTTCTAGTCGTAATATATTCTGGCTGTGTAACTTTGGAAAAGTAGTTCCCTATTTTAGCCTTTAGTTCCTTACCTACAAAATAAAGGAAATTGCCAGCTTTGTAGGGTAGTGAGGACGGACTGAGACAATGTAGGCGTGGTCATTCTCACAGAGGGCTGCTTTCAGTTCCTTTATCTTGTTTGCAGATGGGCAGAGTAGAGCTTGTAGAGAATGTCAGAAAGATGCTGACAGGCTGGAAGGATAGTTTCAGACTAAGATTATTTAAAATATCAGAACAAGTACAGGAGTCAGGAGACTTGGCTGAATAGCAATTCATATAAAAGGAATCAGGGTTTCACTTCCCTGTGATGTGGTTGCCAAAACCACCTATTCTCCTAGGCAGCCTTAATGGACGTGACATGTCCAAATGAAGTCATAGTCCCACAGCAGTAATGTGAGTTGCTGTTCACTTAGCACTTGCTGTGTGGTTGGCCTTGGAGTTCCTTATGCGCATTAGAATGTTGAAGAGATCAGCAAGCCTCTGATGGTAGATATGGTTTCTAGCCCTTGTTTGGTTTTTGGGGTTTTTTTCTTTAGGTGGGATCTCATTTTGTTCCCCAGGCTGGCCTCATGCCACCTCCGTGTCTTGAGTGATACAGATGCACCTGTACTCAGCTCATCGCTTCTATAAATGAGGAAGCCCATACACAGAAGGGGAGAGAGGTGCTAAAGTTTTTAGTCAGAGGTTTGTTTGCAAACCACAGAAACTGATTTGGTTTAGATGAAACAATAGAATAAACTATTGGAAGCTCTTAGGTGGTTTACCAATTCCTTGGGAAGGCAGGTGGCTAGTCTTTGAAACACTGGCAAGAACTAAGGGAGGGTGAGAAGTCAAACTGCAGTCAGCCCAGGCTATGGAAGAGCTCAGGGGAGATTACACACGTTGAGTACTGATGCCACACGCAAGGTAATTCATTGCCTGATTGTGTTACTTGCTGCGGAGTCAGAGTTCCAAGAGGGACATCTGCTTGGCCATGCTCAGCTCTTGCTGCCAAGGATGGGAGCAGGTGTGTGTGGTCTCTGTGGTGTTGGTAGTGGGACATGAGCATTGCCTCTCATCAGAACTCCTGCTGTGCAGATTTTCTAGTTGCCTGAAAGGAGCAGCCTAATTCCCTCACAAATGTCCATCCATACCTCCTCTCTACTTCACTACTAGAATGAAAAACTAGAAACCCTCCCATCTCTTTCATGTTACACTTTAGAGGAACATGCAGAAGGCATAATAATAAATGTACATTGAGTGGAGTTTGCATTTGGACCACCTGCTTGGTGCTATGCTCAGCTGTGGATATCGCACTCCAGCGGACGTCCAGGAACAATCTTGGAAGGGTATTGAGTGGAAAAGGGCAGCACGGTCTGTTTCTCTATTTCCTTGCTGTTGTAGGAGAGCAGATGCTGCATGTAGTAGTGCTTATCTGCCATGGGACTTATTACTATACCTGTGTCCTGACCAGGATTGCCATCTGACCCATCGGATCCCATCTGCACTTGGAGTGCAGGTTAGATCTGTGTGTTGGTTTATTTATTTAAATGCTTACGCAGCTGGGTAATCTCTAATCAGTGACCTGTTATGAAAATCACTTTTGGGAGTCACACACACTTGGGTTGAAATCATTATGACCTATTCTGTTGCTTTCCATTGCTTCATCTGCAAGGCAGGGATAATCCCTTGCAGGATTGTGGGCGATTAGGAATAATGAGGGTAAAGTGTCTGGCAGGTAGTCACTGTTCAGTAAACTGTACCTATTGTTCTCCTTGCCATTCTTCAGCTTTATTACTTTCATTATCAGCTTTTTCTTGATAACAGGTCTTTATCAGATGAAGAAATGCTTTAATGGAGCAACCAGGCCAATTTGGAAACTTGGCCCCAATCCCTGGCAGGTGGTGGCTTCACACAGGCCACTTACCTTTGTGCCTCGCTTTCTTCATCTTCAACCATAGTTGTTCACTAGTTCCTGTGAGGAATAGTGGAAAGTGCACACTCTCAGCTCACTTCCTGCCTCACATGCAGCAATGCAATAAATGTTCCTTTTCTCTGGGAAAGGTAAGACTGAGAAAGCTTGGAGCAGGCTCTGTGGGCTGCGTGCCAGCATTGGCACCTCTACGCATTTCTCTGGCTTTACTTTCCTCTGTGTAGAATGAGAGGTGCATTAGATGCCATAAGAATCCTCTTCTCACTGGAAGAGAGGAGGGAAGGGATGACATTGTTGAAAAAGAAATGTACTCTTTACATGACTTATGTAACTGTAGCCCCTCTGTACATCACCTTTATAACAACAATTTTAAAAAAAAAAGAAAAGAAAATCCTGCTGGGCACCTGTGACTCCTGCCTATAATCCTAGCTACTCAGGAGGCTGAGATCTTAGGATTGTGGTTCAGAGCCAGTCCAGGCAGGAAAACCTGTGAGACTTTTATTAACCACCAGAAAACTGGTGCTATGGCTCATGTGGTAGAGCACTTGCTTTGAGCTGAAGAGTTCAAGGACAGCACCCAGGCCCAGAGTTCAAGTCCTACAACTGACACACACACAAAAAAAGAAAATCCTTTTCTCTACAATGCCTCTCTCAGGTCAGGTGTAGTCCCTGGGCAGGATGCAACCTGAGTCTCCTCTGCATTGCAGGTTGCTGGAGGAAGAGTCCTCCAAAAGGGCAGAACTGGAGAAGTGGCACTTGGAGCAGCAGCAGGCCATACAGATGACGGAGGCTGAGAAGCAGGAGCTGGAGCACCAACGCGTGGAGAAGGAGCTGGCCCTGCAGGAGGCCATGGTGCAGCTGGCACAGCTTGAGCAAGAGCGGAAACAAGCGCTGGAGCAGTATGAGGTAGCTGGAGCAGTATGAGGTAGCTGGAGCAGTATGAGGTAGCTGGAGCAGTATGAGGTAGCTGGAGCAGTATGAGGTAGCTGGGCTCATCCCTGCACATCCCTGTGTGTTACTCCTGAGGAATTCTTTAGGAGGGCTGGAGATAGAGCTCATTGGCAGAGTGTTTGCCAAGTGTCTGTGGGCCTTGGTTTCCATCTCCTACACTGCAAAAGCAAAACAGAGGCTGGGTGCCAGTGGCTAATGCCCATAATCCTAGCTATTCAGGAGACAGATCCAAAGATTGCAGTTCAAGCCAACCTAGGCAGGAAAGTCCTTGAGACTCTTACTGCCAGTTAACTACCAGAAAACCAGAAGTGGTGCTGTGGCTCAAAGTGGTAGAGTGGTAGCCTTAAGCAAAAGACCTCAAGGACAGTGTCCAAGCTCTGAGTTCAAGCCCTGTGACCAAAAAAGAGAAAAAAGGAACAAAACTAAAAATCCCAAACTTTCTGCCACCTTGAAGCTGTAGGGAGAAGCTCATAGAGTAGGGAAGAAGCTCTGTAGAGGAAGCTTTTTCCGGGTATGAGGAATGTTTGTCAGAACCCCAACAGGACAGGACCACACAGAAATGTGAGCAGGGGTAATTTAGTTTATAAAGCCATTAGCTATCAGCTGTAATAGAACTGTCTGAAAAGCCAACTCAACGAGCATTGGGAGGGCTGACGCAGGCAGCAGCCCAGGCCCGAGGCCACGCGCCAGGGATGGGCCATGCCTGCTGGAGGTCCCTTGCTGCCTCTTCACAGTGCTGATCCAGAGGGGGCTGTGTGCAGAGAAGTCCCTGGGAAGCTGCCCCTGGGAGTACCACTGAAACCCACCAGGGGTGTCTGGGAGCCAGCTAGAGAGGGCTCCTAATGTCTCTTCAGCACCTACTTCTGACAAAGCTAGCAGCTCTGGGGAATGAAGGTAGCCATATAGGCAGGCCAGTGAAGGTTGATGGATGTGGAGATGAGAGGCAATGAGAAGAGAGAAAGGGAAAAGGAAAGGGATGAGAGGGAGAGGGAGAGGAGAAAACCATCCAATAAATGCATTTTAGCCATGGCTAGTCATGATATAAGCATTTGATTCAAATTCATATTTACCTATCAGTGCTAACAAGTGTGAGGCCTTAGTTCAAGCCCAGTAACCAAAACAGACAAACAGATAAATAAAAGCAAAAGCCAAAATAGCTGGGTATGATGGCACACACCTGTAATCCCAGCATGCAAAAAGCTGAGGCAGGATTGTAAATGCAAGGCCAGCCTGGAGACACCTGTGGATATGTATGAAGACTATCAAAAGAAAAAAAAAAGAGGGAGGGGAAGTGGAAGCATGGTACACAGGGTCTTACACATTTGTGAGTATGGTGAAGAATAGGCTTTGGGGTCAGATGCCTAGGTTTCAATCCTGGCTCTATTGCTTCTTCCCATGTGACCTTGGGCAGATTACTTAACCTCTGAATCTTTGTTTCCATTGCTGTAGGATAGGGTAATCATAGTTCCTGCTTCTTATAGTTGCTTTGAGCATTTAATGAAATAATCCACAAGCATAGTCCTTGTTATTTGGTCCTTAACTAAACTGCCATTTGCATTCCAGGGAGTTAAAAAGAAGCTAGAGATGGCAACTAACCTGACCAAGAGCTGGAAGGACAAAGTGGCCCATCACGAGGGGCTCATACGATTGATAGAACCAGGTAAGAGACTTTTTTAAAAGTAAGAATGTATGTATCTTAGAATTTATTTTCTATTGTATTTGTGTATTTGAGTTGCTCTTTAAAAAAATAAAATAAATCATTTTTTAGCTCAAATATATGCAGCTCGCACTTTGTAAGATGTATTTCTCTTGCATAGCTTGTACGCTGTTGGTAAGAGGCGCTAATGGCCCTTTGTGTATGCCTTATAGTCCTTTTAGCGCATCTGGCTTTATGGGTATTTCTCAGAGAAGAAATGAGGTAGAAAGGTTAGAGTTTGTCTGTGGAGAAATGGGGTGCTCCCTGAAGGATGCACGCTTCCTGCATTTTAAACATGCTTGTCTCTTAGGTTCCAAGAACCCTCACCTGATCACAAACTGGGGGCCAGCAGCCTTCACCCAGGCAGAGCTGGAGGAGAGAGAGAAGAACTGGAAAGAAAAGAAGACCACAGAGTGACTGTGCCCCACAGAGGGCTGGTCATAGAGACACCCAGTGTGGCTAAGAGCTGTAAGCTGCAGGTGAAAGATGCTGGCTTTGCTGCTTCTAACTTCCCCCTACCTCTTACGGACTCAGTGTCCTAAGGAGACCTCTTTTACCTTCCTGCCAATAAGGGCCTACCTGAAAAGAGAAAAATAGTGTCACCAAGCTCTTGATTCACACTGTCTTTGAACCTTTCAGCTTCTGAAAGGTCCAGTTAGCTCAGACTCTCTTGTATTCACTCCTGAGGGAGGCAGAGCACAGACCTGAGGTCAGCCCCACCATCTGCAGGTGTGGAAGATGGGGTCTGGGGGCTCATTCCCTGGATGTAGGCTGGGGTCGGTGCTTCCCTTTGCCAGTATGTTTCCTCCACGGAGTCTGCCTGACAGTCAGTGTCAGGTGTCATGGAAGGCCTTCACCTACGGGGCTCTACTGGAGAAGCATGGCATCACTGCCATTTCCCGGGTCTCCTTCTAGAGGTGAGTGCTCAGTGAGATGTCCAGTCTGTACTGAGCTTTTCCTTTCCTAACTGCCCTCCCTTTGGCCTAAGTCATTCCCACTTCCTTTGCCCTCATCTCAGATGAAAATGTCTCCTTGCCCATATATGCTGTCCCTTTATTCTCTTGGCTATTCTCTTTCTCTCTTTCTCTCCTTCTCTCTCTCAGGTTGAAGTGCTACCACCTTCATGCCATACTGTGAGAGGATTGTGCTCAATGGTAGAGAGAAGCTAACTGGAAGAGTGAATAATTTATAAAGCAGACTGTATGCACATGGGCAGGGCAGCTGACTGTACATGTGCTAGTTAGATTTAAAATGCCGTTCTAGTGGCTCAGCTGTGATGTTAGGTTTTGCTAGGTGAGCAGCTTTTTAACTTTTCCCTTCCTCTCTAGGTGACAGAGGAAATACCCAATAAAAATAAGGGTAACAAAAGAAAATTGGAATCATAGTTCTTACGCATCTAATTTGAAAGGAGCAAAGAGGAAGATTTTCATATATAATCTGTTTGGGGATTGAGAATAGTATTTATGAAATCAACTTTCCAATGTTAATTCTAATTTATAAGCAGCAGTAGCTCCATGGACAGCAGTGATAATTAAAATTATGGAGAAGGATGAGGTTGACTCAGTTATAATGGTCAATACTGGATTCAGTTGGCTGGTTAAAGTCTTTGTGTCTGTACAAGCATTTAGATATAGTGCCAGCCTCAAAACAGGAGCCATTCCTAAGAGATGGACACATCTAGAGAGAATGGTTTGAGAGATTCAGTGTGTGTTTATTTACACAACAGGGAACTGGAACTTAATTCCATGACTCTTCATTGTTTATGACTGGAAATAATTGCCAATGAAACTGCCTTCAGGAAACTGTCTTAAAATTTTGAGCTGTTTTATGGAAGGGCAACTTTATTTAATCTTTGTTGCCTTTGTAACATTTAAGCTTTTGTCTAAAGTTTGTAACATGTGCCTTCCAAATTCAGCATATAATATGGGTGTTGGTTTCTGCCCAGCCACCTACCAGTATTATCATTTATGCAGTGGCTGGCAGGTGTATTAGGCCAACAAAGAATAATGGAACCTTTGTATGGTTTGATTGGGTCTCATACCAGGGGACTTCAGTGCTCTTCATAAATCATAAAGAAAGGAAGCCAGTGACCTGTGAGAAATCTGGGGAGTCCAGCGACCTGTGTCTGGGGCGGGGGCGGGGGAGGGAGATTTCTGCTTTGAGATGTTGGGAAATAGGCAGTGATTCACTGCAGAATGTCCCTTCTCCAACCTGGCTTTTCCATAACTACAGCTAGAAATGACCTGGGGAGTCTCTGCTCTAGCCCAGGGCTACCATGGACTTCTGACAGGCCTAGGCCATCAGCCTGGAGGCTCCTCCTTTCTGGTCACATGTGGCTGTGCACAGGTATGCATGGCATGCATAGCACACATGGCTGATCTCACCCTGGCTTCGCACACTGCACTGTCAGGAGGCCGAACTCCCAAACAGTGGGTGCAGAGGTGGGCCCAGCAGGGACTGTACAAGTCCTGTGTAGAATGGTATCGCGAGACTTAACTCCCTAATATCGAAAGTAGTTTGAACTGTCAATATGCCTGCAGTCCATTTTTACTTTTGTAATTACTGTACAGAAAATTTCTGGAGTGTTTGAATGTTTGTTATAATCAGGCCTTTCCATAATAATGAAAGATAGGATTGTTTCCATGAATTGTACACAAAAAGTTTTTTAAAATGTGCTTTTGTAATTTGCTGTATTAAGAGGGAACAAAATATTTATAATTTTCAATCGTATCTAAAAATTGTACCATGTAATGTGTTCAACTTTATTATTTTTTCTAATTTTTCTAAGATATATTGCAATGTTTTTGTATTTTTTTAAAAATAAAATGGACCCAGTAAGAAAACTAAAATTACCAGAACATCGCACATTTAAGGTTGTCTGGTTTAATAAAACAGCGGGGTAAAGTTTTGTGTGTGTGTGCGTGTGCTTTCATATAATGATACAGACCTTGGCCAGGGCCACTTCCTGAAAACACTGGGTTTGGAGTTAAGATCCCCAAGACCTTAGCTGCGGCTCCTGTGTGGCGCTTGAGTCACAAGTGTGGGGAACCGTGGCTGATGCGTCAGCTCACCAACGGGAACTTACTAACGCAGTTTCTCCCTCATTGTTGCTGTTACCTCCTAATTCTCTAACCTCTCTTGAATTTTATTTTCATGCCTATCCGTTTTTCTTTCACCAGAGTAAGCAGTGTGGCTTTGTGTTTTGGTTTATGAGGTTGCCAAGATTAAACTCTCTGTAGTAGACAAGCAGGCTCGCGGCATTTAGCTTGAGTGTGTGTTAAAGTTGATCTTTCCCTTTCAGAGAGAGTAGGGAGAGAGGTTGGTGTTGGTGTTTGTAAAAACTGTTCTTTATTGCCTTGGGACACTTTGTCCCCAGGAGGCTTTTGGCTGGGCCTGGAGCCACTTGTGTTTTTCACACCTGGAAGGGGTATTGCTGGCTTCTAGGGGCCATGGGTCCTGCAGATGTCCTGGAATCTCTCAACAATAACTGTCAATAAAGGTGAGATTAAGACAACCTGCTGGGTCTTCTTGGTGTCAATGGAGCACACCTGGCAGAGAAAGAGTTTGTTAATAACCTGTGCCTCCCTGCAGACACATAGGCTCCCCTCCAGAACACAACAGACTCTGAGAGTCAAGGTTTCCCCGTAAGGAGTCCTCTGGGGTCTCAATGTGTCCCCAAAGGGTATGTGCTGGAAAATAGCCCAAGTTCAAGAGTGTTGGGAGGTGGGGCCCAATAAGGGTAGGTGGGCCCCAAAGATCCTACACTGTGGAGTATGGGTTGATGTTATCGTGAGACTGGGTCTGCTATTGCGAGAGTGGGTTTGTTATAAAAAGGGAATTCTGCCTGCTGCGTTTTTACCTCCGGGCCTTCCACCTATGAGGATGCAACAGAGGACTGCGGGCAGTAACCCCACCATATCTTCAATGTCACAGCCTTCAGAACCGTGAGAAACCAATCAGTTCTTTATTATTGGCTGTGGGAAGTGGACCACTCCAGGAAATGGAGTGATTGGCTGGCACAAATGGGGCACACCTGGAAGGGTGAGGTTGTTTCTGTGGACTGGCAGAGAGCAGAGCGCAGAGGCGTTGGCCTCCTGGGTGTGGGGGTCAGATGGGAACTCAGGCCCTTTGAAGGGAACTGCTTTGGATGTGTTTTAAAGGCTTTCTGTGATATGGGTTGTTGAGGTAAGAAGTGAAAAGGCTGCGCTGTTCCTGAATCTTCCATGAGGTGAAGTAGTGGGCTATGGATGCTAGTGAGGATGTGTTCACATTTGCCACCCAGGCAGCCACACGTCTTGCACAGCACCAGGGTTTGTTCTAATGGGTAATGTCCTGATTGTACCTGAAAAGTAGCGCAACCACAGGCCCAGCTGTCCAGTGGGGCAAAGGCCAGGTGAAGAAAGGCAGACTCTGGGGAAAAGACAGCTCACAATGTCTGCCAGTGCAGAGCACATGCTCACAGTGTATTCCAAGAATTAGTTTTGGGAATAGTTTAAGGAATATTCCTTTTTATCCTTCCCCATTCCACACACACACGCACACACGCATGCACACACATTTTTCACCCTAATATTCTTTAAAAAACAATCACCCTCAACTTGAATAGACTATTTGGCAATAAATAACTAATAAAGACACCTAATTCTGTAACTGTTCTGCCCAAGAGAAATGAGGCTTATGCCCTCCAAAGACTTGAACAAGAAGATGCATAGCAGCTGTTTAAGTGAAGCCAGGTCCCGGTGGGTTATGCCTCTAATTAAGGCCAGCCTGGGCAGAAGAGCACAACAGAGATGTGGGTGTTATGCATATACCTGTAATCCTAGTTTCAGTGGGAAGTATAACATGGGGGATGTGCCAAGGAGGAAAATAACCAGCAGAAAAAAGGCTGGAGACAGGCTGAGAAGCTGGCAGAGCGCTTACCTAGCATTCATGAGGCCCTGGGTTTGATTCCTCAGCACCACATATGCAGAAAAAGCCGGGAGTGGTGCTGTGGCTCAAGTGGTAGAGCGCTAGCCTTGAGCTGAAGAGCTGAGGGACAGCGCCCAGGCCCAGAGTTAGGCTCCATGACAGACAAAAGTCTGGAGGCATGTTTCAGCAATACAAACACCTGCCTAGTTTACGCAAGGTCTTCAGCCCTGCCAAATTAAGCAACCAGCTCACTCCCAGGTGAGAAGAGCAGAGCGGTCGCATACATTCAGATAGAGAACACTAATAAAGAACACATTCAAGAAATGCCACATGCATAAGTCCTGCATTAACCCTGTTGGGCAAAAAACCAAACACAAGAGAACACAGACTGTGTGATTGCGCGTGTACTTCTTTCCAGAACACTAACCTGTGGAGTGAGAGGGTTCCTGCCTGGCGTGCGTGGCTGTTGGCTGGGCTGCTGGGAACAGGTGGTAGTCGTTCACTCTTGAGAGCTGTGAAAGTGCTGTCTGAAGCAGGAGAGCTTCTAGAGTGCTTGAACTGGCCTGCGCCTTTCACTTGGCAGAGAAGGGCATTGCCAGGTCCATATTGGAATTCTCTTGCCACCCGGCTCCTGTTGGGGTGACTTTTATTTGATCACAACAGTCAACGTTTTATTTCTCAGGGTGCCTGTCTCCTGTCATCGGCTCATCAGAGCCTTGCATCGCCCCTACAGGATGCTGTGCCCTTTGCCAGGCTTGCATTCATCTTCCACTGACCCTTCCGAGTTTGCTGAGTCTTTAGTCCCGGGCAGTGGGTACATTTGTGGTGGGTGCTGAATTCCAAGCCAGGCTAGCCTCCTTTTCCGTTTCCACTACACAAGTGCAGTGGCGTGTCCACCCACAGGAATGTGGGCCTTCCTCTTTGCGTATGTCCACCTCCTCCGCCTCCAGGCTGGCAGAGCTGGAGGAGCCGGCAGAGGACAGCTAGAGAGCCACCTCCGGCTCTGCCCAGCCCCCACCTCCGGGGCGGAAGTTGCTGTCTCCTGTCTCATCCACCTCCCCTCCCCTGGGTCAACACTTTGCTTCGGCCCAGACGCCAAGAAAGCCTCTCTGAACCTCACTGTCAGTGAGGCTTTCAGGCATCCTGCACTAGCTGCCCCAGGAAACTGTCCCACGAGCTGCCCACACCTGCTGTCATCACCTGGATGATCCTCCAACAGGAGGGCAGGATCGCTGGCCCTGGCCGCCAAACTAGGATCTGTTTGTTCGGCTGGAGGAAATTTGGGCCCAAGACCTTCGCTTACAAAGGGAACACAGGCTATCAAAAGAGGTGTCTAGGTGGAACACTTCATTCCAGAGCCCCAAGCCCCAGTGACGAAGCTGAGCTTCAGAGTTCAACAGCCCACGGTGTGTTATGGTTCTGTTCCAGCTCATAGATTAGAGACACCTGCCGCCTGGCACGCCTCAACATCTTGTCAGGGTGCAGTTTCTTTAAAGGCACGGGGAGAGGGGCTTTCCACTTCAGCTGGGCCCAGCCAGGTGGCAGGGATTTTGCTGGTGCCCTGGCAGATTCTGAGAAAAGCCAGCAGGTGACTGAAGAAGGTTGGCCAGGCCAGGCTTCTGGAGAGTTAGGGAAATACCTCAAAAACTTGCCATGTCCCCCACAGGGCTGTGCTTCTGAGGTGTTCTGAATGGAGGAGGGAACAAAGGCTCCCAATGGGGGCCCTGCTACACCCACATCCCCAGCTGCAATTCATCTCTGAAGGCCCAGGGAGGCCACGCAGTGGGTGTCCTGGGCCTGGAACTGCCACTTCCCAGGTGACCTCCCTCCCCCAGAGTCCTGCTCTGAAACCTACACCTTCCTTTAGTCTTTAGTGGGGGCTGTGGCATTTTTGGGCTCAGCCAGCAGCTACTCCACTCCCCCTGGGGCCCCCCCCCCCGTGCTTGGCGTGGGGCACTCAGGTGTGTTAAGTTCTAGAGCACCAGGCTCCGTAAGGCAGAGTGGTCTCATCCCACAGTTCAGGGCCTTTCTGAAATAAATCCTTTGTCCTCAAAAAATTCCCCCAATCTAGTCCCCTGGGACTCCATCAGAGCTGGAAACAGAAAGCAATGGTTGACATACCTCATAACTCATCTTTCAGAAATTTCTGGTCTACTTTGCATGTATACTCATCACCCTAAAGTTAAGTGTCACTTTTTTTCTTCTTTTTCCCCCCTTTTCGTTCTTTCCCCACTGCCCCAGGTTGTGGGGCTTGAACTCTGGGCCCGGCCGCTGACCCTGACCTTCAGCTGAAGGTGGGCACTCTACCACTTGAGCCACAACACCACTTCTGGTTTTCTGGTGGTTAATTGGAGATAAGAGTCTCATAGACTTTCCTGCCCAGGCTGGCTTTGAACTGTGATCCTCAGATCTCAGCCTCCTGAGTAGCTAGGATTATAGGTGTGAGCCATGGGTGCCCAGCTCATTTTACTTTTGACATTCCAGTCTTGGGGCTTGAAGCCTGTCCCTGAGCTTTTTTTGCACAATGCTATCTTCCTACCACTTCAGTCACATTCCACTACTGGCTTTTTGGTATTTAATTAGAGATTAGAGTCACGTGGGCCTTTCCAGCCTGAGCTGGTTTTTGAACTACAATCCGTAGATCTCAGTCTCTTGAATGGCATGAGCCACCAGCACCTGGTACTTCTTTCCTTCTCACTGTTAATCCCACTCTATATGGAAGATGGAGCATCAACTTAATGCAAGTCCTAGTCTCTCTTTTCCAGAGAAGCTGGAGTCTTTTTTGGGGGGGGGAAGGGGTCCGGTTGTGGGGCCTGAACTCTTGGGGCCTGGGCGCTGTACCTTAGCTCTTCAGCTCAAGGCTAGAGCTCTACGACTTGAGCCACAGCACCACTTCCAGCTTTTTTTCTTATGTGGTGCTGAGGAATCGAACCCAGGGCTTTCATGCATGCAAGGCAAGCGCTCTACCACTGAGCCACCTTCCTAGCCCCAGAATCTGGA